CCTTCGGCATTGGCAAGAGCAGCCTCCTGGACTGCCTCGCCTGCAGCCAGGAGGTACCCGAGTAGTACATAGGAAGTTCCCATGCACTTCACGGGTAGGTAGTTGGACAGTAGGCACGAGTAGTCTTCAGGATTCAGCCGCAGCACTCAGGAGGAGTGCTGGCAGTAGTAGTTAGCGCTAGCAGTAGTCTTCAGCGTTGGGCGCTCATAGYTGTAGAAGTAGTCTTCAGCGCAGGGCGCTAATAGCTGGTAGTGGTAGCGTTGGAGAGAGATGGCTGGCGGAGGCCAGCGGTACTTACCTGTGGCGCCATAGCTCCAGCTCCATTTTCGAGGTACCTGCATCAAGGCGCCAACTTCACAGGTTAGTACTGGACACACAGAGAGAGAGAGTTCTTCTTCTTCCTCTTCTAAGTCCACCATTTCTTCTCACCCTCTCACCACCTGACTTCTCAGGATCAGCAGACTACGGCAGAGAGAGAGAGAGTTGTGACTTGAGACTTGACGACATTGGATCCAGACTCGACATTTGGGATTCAGACATTTTGACGAGGGACTATTTGGGCCTGTGCCGAAGACTTGGTGTTGACGACATTCCCATCTTCCCCTCCTCTTCGTCTAACCCCCTTCTTCTTCGTCTGTGTGTGGTTGGGGCTGGCACAGTCTTCCCGTGTGAAGCGCCAGACCCCTTTCACACCATGGAACGATGATGATGATGTATGTTCAGGACTGCATTGCAATATTGATTGTTCGGATCATTGGTATCTAAGTCTTCCGCTACGCTATCTTGTACTTTGTATTGAGAGGTCGGTTCTTGTTCTGGTCTGCACCATTACAGTATGCAACTCCTTTTGACTTCTTCATCTCAGCCAAGGTTTAGCGGTGAGTCATCAGCTCGTTGTCGACGCCTCTGAGGGACCAACCTAGAGAAACCCTAACACACGTGGTCTTTGGACAACTATCTAGATAGGGGTTTACCTCAGCCTCTGCCATTGGGGCCTTTGGATGAGAGGTTCGCTTCTCAGCGCGGCCCTCTATCAGTCTATCAAAGTCCGAGGCTCCAACAGGAGCAACTGGAATTCGTACTGGTCATTCCCTTTTGGCTGCCAGATCTCAGGATAAAAGGAATGATGTGGCCAGAGTCTCCACACTTCATACATAACCCTTCTTGTCTTTTATTGGGCCACAAGGCGTTTGGCAGCTGCGATGGCCTCTAAGGCTCACCGTCCTCACGCCCTAGATTAGGGAGGTACCTACAGGGACCATTGTATCCAAAAGCACTATTATTAGAGAGGGCAAAGGTGCCCCCCCTCTCACCTTGACAGGCGGAGGATGCTTGACCCCTGCGGGGTAGCATATCCTATTCCTCCCGCTTGGAAGCCCCCTTGGTCTCCAAACCCTTGCGTGGCCTGTCCTCGGGCTCCTCTTCCATGACCTCTTCTTCCTCGGCCTCCTCCTCGCCCCCCCCCACGGGCTACTACTGTTGCATAGTCGCCTCCTTTGGCTATTTGACCTCCCTCACATTCTAACTCTCTGTAGTCAATTTGGTCATAGGGATCTCTTCCACTCCCCCTCCCTCAGAGGTGACCAAAAACTCGTCCCCAACGGATATATTGTTGGAGATATTTCTTCCCTTCCTCTCCGTACCCTTCTCTATATCCCTGTAGTAGTGGAAGTTAGCTTGTTACAAAAAGTCAGCCTGATCCAAAGCCTTCTTCGTAAATTCTGCGTAGGTTTGGCCTTCTTCCTGAGACTGCACATATAGGTGGACTGTAAGGGCTCAGGCAGTGCCATTGCAAAATGCTATAAGACTTGCTTTGGTTTCACTCCACAATCGGGTACTTCGAGTAAATCATCCATGTATGCTTTCAGGGCGGCAACACTCTTACGATTTTCGCTCTCCACATTCAAAATCTTGACCTGAGTGCGCCGTCCCCTAGCCTTGTCATCAAGCCGCTCGCTTAAACATGACATCCAAAAAGGTCTTCAAGTCAGTAATGCGCGAGTACTTGATGACATGCCGTTCACACCCACCTATTCGATTAGTGAAACTGCATAGTTCGCTCCATCACCTCCCAAGCAAGAAACCGCCAACATCACATGTCCTTGAACTGCGACCTTCTGTGCATACACATAGGTCCACACAGCTGCATCCCACAACATTTGCTGCTAAAAGTCCACGACATCTTCACCTCGATCGTATCCCCGCCTCCTCGTCATCTTCTCGTTCTTTCTTGTTGCCTTTCCCCTTTCCTTTTCCTTCGCCTCCATTCCCATCATCTCCATCAGGGGTACCGGTCTGCCTGCTCCCTTAAATGGCACTATCATATTTTTGCATAACTCTTTCACACACATATTCTGTAGTTTTCTCGTGAATCTTGTGGAGGGTCGCAGTAGCGAAGTTATTCCATTTACCTTTGAATTCCTCCTTCCAAGCAGTGAACTTATCAACAATCACACACAGGGCAGCGGTCGCTTTGGCAGCATGAAGGGCACCTTGTGTGCAGAACACTATTTTAGAATCGGTCCTGCTTTAGCCTGCTCTCTAAGCTTGTTGGGCATGGCTGGTCCCTCCTCCAACATCTTTTTTTTCTTTTCGAACTCCCGCTTCTTTTGTCCCATAGCCATCTGCATTTCTGCAATTCGCTGCGCCTCCTCTCTTATGATCTCCTCCTCGTTTCAAGCAGCGGCCAGGGCAGCCTGGTAGGTATCCGCTTCTTCCTTGAGGTCCTCCAAGGTCTTCTTTTTCCACAACCCAAAGGAGCCCAAACAATCTTGCTCCTTCTCCATTCTTAAGAACACAAAGGAGAGTCTGTGTTGATGACTGTCCCTTTGGCACCACCACGGTAACAGCCCCCGGTCCTTCTCCCTTCTTCTCTTCTTCCTCTTCTTCTTCTTCTTCTTTCTCCTCCTCATCAATTTCCACCTGCCTCGTGTTCTTCTCCAATCTCCTTTTCTCCTCCTCCAATTCTTTATTTTTTCTTTCATTTTCTTCCTTTTTCTTCCACTTCTCATCTTCTGCCTTCTCTCTCGCCTCCTCATACCCCTGATCAGTCAGCTGCAGGGTCTTCTTTCTTGATCTACGCTCAATCACAGTCCTATTACCGTCTTCACTCGAAAATAATGCCCGGGTGTTGTATACGAATATAAGGCCCGCCGGGCATTATATTCGTTTACAACGCCTGGGCGTTATATTCAGTAAATTGGTGGCAACTTCCAGCGATCGTCCTCAATAATTATTTAATGCTACAAACAGGACGATGTGCCGATGAGATACAAGGTTCCTTCTTTTAAAACTTAAATCTCCTCACTGTGTCTCCTGGTTCGGTTGCGTGTCGGTCACTACCGGTCTTAGGGCTAGCCAGGTTGTTTAATGAGCGCCAACTGCTCATGCTCGTGCTCTCTCCCTTGTGAATGATCCTCTGGCTGCCGAGCTTCTACTCTTAGATGGACCGAAAGC